CCCCCCCCCCCCCGTATGTGCAAAGCTCTGCTAAAAACATGAATCACGTGAAGAAATCTAAGTCCTCGTTCCTGCCATCAAGCAGTTTATAATGTAGTTGGGCAAAGACACGTGCTGATGGAATTAGTGATTCAATTAATGGCACGTAATTAAAAAGTGCGGTGTGAGTAATATAGTGCCTGGCATACAGAAGACACTCAAATGCTGGATGGATGCATGAATGCATGGATGTGTGGGCGGATGGCTGGATGGGCAGAAGACGGACTGACAAATTTATTAGAATTACAGGACTAGAAAAGAGAAAAGTGCATGACAGATGGCTGAGTTTCAGTAAATGTCTCCTGACTTTTATTGGTCAGAGGATATTTCAAGAAGGAGAAGACAGACGAGCTAGGCCTTCCAGAACTCAGGAGTAGAATGTGAGTCTGCAGAGTGGGGGGGGGGGGGGGGGGGGGGGGACTCCAGGCCAGGGTCTCAGCATGAGTAAAAGCAGCGAGGCAGAAAGAGCAAGACAGGACTGGGAACTGTAAAGAAATGACCTCTCTAAAGCAAAAATTTTAGGGAGAAGCTTGTTTTGCAAGTAGCATGGGACTATATCATAGAACATCTTGGATTTCAAGTGGGGATATTTAAATGATCAAGAAGCACAGGCAGCTCTAGACATTTTCACGCAAAATAATGTTGTAAAGAAAATATTTTAGGCAAAAAATCTGGTAGAACTAGGACACTCTGTTCAATATAAAGATATGAGACAGTTTAATACAGGATGGAGATTTTAAGTATTCGCTGGGATTTTCAAGTATTTTTTTCAAAAGGACTACACATGTAGATATGGCTGCTAGCATTATGAAAATATCCCTGTGTGTAATGAAACTTCTGAGACAGTTATGTCAATTTCAGATTTAGATCAATAGGCATTCTTACCGAGAACCAAACGATTACAACATTCAAAGAAGCTGGCGTAAAAGTCTGGAGGCCTCCAAATATTTCATGCATAAAGTTTAATCAATTTTTCATATGGTAGAGGAAAGGTAATAATTTTTGTCTTCTGAAATATTCAGCCTAACTTGTAGAGATGTCAGAAAATTGGTATTTCTTGCATGTAAGTTCTTGTCGCGCCAGGAGGGTTTGTAATGGATGCATACTATTCAGTGAGCACGTATTGGGTTTGTTGTGTTTGTTCATTTGTTTTGTTTCATTTGGCTTTGAAGTCGTTGCTGGGAACAAAGCCGGGGTCCCCGGGGGGATGGGTCCGGGTCCTCTGCTGAGTGAAATCCTAGCAGAGCTTATATGGCGTCGGTTTATCCTAACTTCCGTGAAGCTGACCAGCCTCTTGCCTTCCATAGTGAGCCATCTCTATGGATTTGGACTGATGGACGCAGAAGCCATGGTGATGGAAGCCGAGAAGTGGACCACTGTTCCCCAGCAGCACGTGTGTGTGGAGAGCACAGACCGACAAATCAAGTAATGTTCGCGGCAAGCAGACAGCATAACACTGCCCTGAAAGAGATGGGGCCAGCTCAAGTGCGCAGGAAGCCCTTTGTTGTATATGAGAGCCAGACGCTTGTGTAGTTTTTGGGGGTTTCTTCCTAATGTAATGAGAAAAGTCTCATAGAACGTCTAGGATGCTAAGCTCTTAAATCCACGCAATAGAAACCAAGGAGCCTCATGGGCACCTCTTATTAGGGGATTTGGAGGGCCTTATAGATGGGCATTCTTAAGGTTGCTCCTCAGCCAGAATTTCCATTTAACGGTAGAAGTTTTCTCCGTAAGTCAATGTACTCCAAAGAAACTAATCCTTCTATTCCAGAAGCGTCACTACAGAACATATAATTACAAAGTATATTTTCAACCTATTATATAAAAATAACAACACGTTGAAAATAAAACAAAATAGGAAGTAGGGGGCATGTTTTTCCTGTGGCTCAGTGACAATCTCAGAGAGTGACGTTCAAGTTTTGACCATGAAGGGAGAGGAAGAGTCAGCCATATGAACAAAAAAAAAAAATGCTTTAGGCAGAGTCTCTGAGGTGGGAAACGAATCACCCCGCAACTGGAACTGATATTGGTGTTACGGGGGCTGAGGTTCAAGGGGACGGTGACACAGGGGGAAGCCAGCGAAGAAGACAGGAACGTGGACGCAGGTCGAGGAGTGCGTCCGTGGGTTATAGAGCAAGGCAGTGGCAGACCAGAGATTTGAACCAAGGTCGTGGTAATCCCCACATCTCCCCCGGACCACAGTACCTTATATCAGCGGTCCGGAAAGTATATCCCATAGGTCAGCAACATCACTGTCGCCTGAGAAACGCAGGTTCTTGGAAGCCCACCTCAGCCTTCCTGTTTCAGACATTCTAGCTCGGGGGCTCCGCCCCATGTGTTCTGTAACAAGGTGATCCCCTCCAGCTCGAGAGCCACTCCCAGCACGAAGATAAAAGACCCTTAATTCCTCCTTTCCTCTCACTGACACCTTTCCCACCGACTAACCGGTGTTGATCCTGGGGTAATCGCACTGTGTCCGTCCGTTAGTATCCAGCGACCAACTGCTTGCATTCCATCGTGTAACCTCGCCAAGCGTGCAAGGTTCACTCAGCCGGCTCGGTCGTCAGTCACATCCTGTGCTCACGCTCCGTCTCTCTCTGTTGCAGGACAATTCGCCCCAACAGCGCCGTGCGCTCCATCTACAAAGCTTCGGGGTGTTCCGATAACCCCAACCACCACGTCAACTACTTGGAGCACGTAGTTGTGCGCATAACCATCACTCACCCGAGGAGGGGAGACCTGGCCATCTACCTGACCTCGCCCTCGGGAACCAGGTCCCAGCTTTTGGCCAACAGGTACCGTGATGGCTTCGGGTCACCAGCGGGTAAGAGGTGACACCAAGACTGAGCTGTCATGTAAGGTAGAAAGTGTCAGCTGCTCCTTACCACCATTAAAACTAAGGGGGCACCTACATGTCAGGACGGGACAGTCCTAGCTCTCCCTGCCCATACGTCAATGAGGGAGTGCGAAACTGCCTGGGCTTGCAGGCGGGGAATGGTGTAACATTGAATGCTTGAGTAACAGTGAAAGGGTGCCGCAGAAAAAGCGAAGGCCCCCTTCATCCTAACAAAGAAATGCAGGGCACCACCTCCTTGGGCCTTTGCGATTCTCTCCCCTGCCCTTGAATGTCTGCATTTGTTGCAGATTAACCGGATTCTCCTGCCCAGGCATCTTCCCAAGCGAAGGGACATTCTGTGTGTGTTTCAAAACAGGTGTTGGCAAAGGTTTTTTTTTTTTTTTTTTTTTCTGCAAAGAGCCCGTGAGTGTTTTGAGCCTTGCAGGCCGGGTTTCTGCTGCAACTGTCCAACTCGGCCTGAGAGTGCACAAGTCCCCTTAGGCGATGTGAGTGCGTGGGCATGGCTGTTTTCCAATAAAACTTTATTTACAGAAACAGGCAGCAGGCTGTATTTGGCTTGAAGACTGACTGTAATTTCCTGTTTTAAAGGTTGGCCCGTTAGTCTTTATTGCTCAGGAAGGTGCTCAGTTTTTCTTCCTAGCCTCTTGCCTTTTCCCTGCTCCCTCCAAACACTTATCCAGCGGGTCATTGTATTGCCAAGATCGGAGAGGCCAGAACGTTCTCGCACAAGTTTTCTTTTGCTTCATAGGTGTCTGAGCCATTGGGAGCATGGGCAGCAGGTGTTGGTCAACAAGAGGGACCAGACTGGGGACGTATCATGTTGTCTTAAACTCTCCGTTCCCTCTATGGCTCTAAAATATAAACCATACCCAGAAGCCTCAAAGCTTCTTTGATTTGATCTTTTTTTCCTCCAAGAAGATCACTTGATGGGAGCAAAAGTCTTATCGTGAATGGCATACATAGTCCAAATGAAAGTCAACCTTTTCTGTAGACACAGCCACCTGCCCACATGGCCACGTGACTATGGCCTGTGGACTGTGTTTGGCCTGACGACAGGCCAGCGGAGTTGAGAGGCCAGGGGCCAAGCCTGCACAACCAAAAGTGAGGCTAAGCGAGAGCCAGTTGGTTTTCAGAATCCCCACCTTCATCTCCTCTAGGACTGTGAGAAAAAGAGCATTCTGGATGCTAGTGACTAGGAATACAGAACCTGAAATCTTTAACCATCTTTTACTTCTGTACTTGGAAGACTTGCATTCTTCTTTACAACCTAACATCCTCCGGGATGCCTGGGTGGCTCAGTCGGTTGAGCATCTGACTCGGTTTTGGCTCAGGCGGCGATCTCACAGTTTGTCAGGTCAAGCCCCGTGTAAAAGCTCTGTGCCAACAACGCGGAGCCTGCTTGGAATTCTCTCTCTCTCTCTCTCTCTCTCTCTCTCTCTCTCTCTCTCCCTCTCCCTCTGTCTCTGCTCCTCCCCTCCTTGCTCTCTCTTAAAATAAATAAATACATTTTTTAAAAAGTTTTAAAAACCTAACGTCCTCCAACAAGGCACGGGAAGATGTGGGCTTAGTGCTTTATGACACGCGGCTTTGCCAGAATAAGGGGGCACAGGTGTGAAGAAGGAAAGGCTGCGGTGGCATCAGATCGCTGGACGTGCTCCCCATGCCGTCCTCCCTCCGCAGACAGGGGTCTCAGCTGCTGCCTGCCAGGTAATTGCCACCACCTGCCAGATGCTTCTCTCCGGCGGGCCAAGCCTTCAGCTGCATAATCGCGTGATCGGGAGGTCACATCAGCCATTGCTACCGAAGCGAGGGAAGACCTTTCTCCCTCCTGTTCTCTGTTTCTTCTTCTTTGCCTTGATTCGTCTGCATTAAACTTGAAAGCGTATCCAGGTGAAACACTGAGGCGCAAAGGTTTGCTTCACGCACGTGTGGCTGTTGTCCCTCGAGCCTCCTCTGTCGTAGGGGAAAAGTCCCTTCCCTCTTGCCGTTGGCCTGGAAAACGCGGGCTCCTCGGGCTTTCTGGGCTTTTCCTGCACAGTTCGGTATTCCTTGTTGCCCCCGCCCCCCACGCCGAATGACTTCAGCGAGGCAACCTGCACGCAGAGGAGCTGTGGATTCCGTGAGAGGATTTGCCGGATGGCTTTGACCCTGGCTCCGGTCTGGCACGCATTCCGCAGCCGCGGACGTCTGCTTCGCTCTTTGCAAAGTGCTGAACCCAGCAGTGCCGCTTGACTCGTGCCAGAGAAAAGACACGTGCATTTCAGATGCTCAGTGAGCAGCGGTCCTGCAGTTTACCTCAGTCTCCCCACGTCCAGACCCCGTGGAGAGAAAGTTGCTACCCAGCTCGGGTCTCCTCTGTCTGGAGCATTTTCTTAAAGCGCTGCTCTTCTGTATACGTTCCCTCTCAGCACTGGAAATTAAGTAGCCACCAAAAGGCATAGGGACTAGAGTGGCAAAGGGCTGGGGACACTGAGAGATGTAAGGCTGTTATAAATTCATTTGTCTACAGATCCCCCCCGCAAAACATCACTCTGAGCGGCTGAGCCCTTAAATGCAAAACAGTCTCATCCAGTCGCAAAAGCACGTATGGCCTCCAGGGCTAGGCTCCCCTGGCCTTGCTCTGCTTGGTGCTGGGAGCATCCCTCCTACTGAAGGTTAAGGAAAGACCGTTTCTTCTGGCATTTTCTTTTTTTCTTCCTGGCGTGTTCGGACGCTTTCCCTTTATGAGAGGAAATCTACTCAAAACCTTTTAGTCCCTGACCTGGTGGCAAGGAGCCCTTGTGTCCCCTCACGTTGGTCTGTTTCCAGGCACATTCCCTCGATTGGGAGCTGAGGCCAAGAAGCATGAAAAGGGGTGGGGCCCCGGGGAGGGGAAGGCCTGCTTCCCCCCCTGGTGTCCTTCGGGTCGGCCTGCAAGGCAAGATTACTTCCTCCAGGAAAAAAGGAGAATAGGTCAAGTTCGGGAAGGAAACTGTGCGTCAGAGATTATAAATGAGAGCAACAACAAACAGTTCCCCGGTTGGACGCTTGTCTTTCCTTCAAAGAAGTCAAGATTTCCAGAGGAGGACCACGGTGAGAGCAAAGAATACCGTTAAAAGATAAGCCCGACAGGCTTGCATCCTGAAGTTACCCTAGTGGGGG